CAGACCTTCCCCTAGCGCCAAAGCACTGGGACACCACTGGAGGGAGGGGAACCCCACAGGGAGGAGGAGGAAGGGCAAGGTCAGGTGAACCAAGAGACCCAGAGCCTCAAGGGTCTTGCTTCATTTGGGACAGACATCCGGTTTCCTCTGGTTTCTGCCAGGATTCCGGGGGCTTAAAGGAATGAGTCACAGGGGGGATTGGGGAGTTCCCAGCTGACCAGTTCAGGACAGGAACCTGGGATGATGCCCATCAAAGTGTGGGATGGAGACAGGAGGCCAGACCCCAATGTCCCTACCTCAGGCGCCTGGCCCCTCAGGAAGGGACTCAGGAAGGCAGCCTCCTGGGAGTTTGGGGGGTAGAAATGGGGGCAGCTAGGTTCTTCCCTCTCAGAATCTGGGGTCTCGGGAGCAGGTAGCTTGCGAATCCCAAGGGAGAGTGCAAGGGGGTTGCTCCCCCTGATCCGCCAGGGGAGGGAGGGAGGGAGGGGCCGCCTGGAGGCCGGCCTCTCCCCCCCCCACACAACCCTCCCGGGTCAGTCTGACCAGCCTCCAGGCTCCAGGGCTTTTATCAGCAGCTCAGCCTTCCTTCAGCGGTTCTGATCTGCCCCAAACACCCTGGGGCAATTTCGGGCCTGGGTGGGGCTGAGGGGAGGAAGAGAGTTTGAGGGGGACCAGACGTCAAAGAAGGATCAGGGATTCCACAATTTCACAAAACTTTCGCAAACAGCTTCTTGTCCCAGCCCCCCTGCATTGTCCTGCACACCAAATTTGCATAAATCCTGGGAAGTCATTACTAAGCCTCCATCGTGGCACCAGGTAATTTCCTCCCAGGCCTCCATGGGCTTCTGTATAAAGGCCCTCTGGAATCGGTCCCTGCCAGAGCCCAGAGCCTGCCGACCCACGCAGACCTTCCGCTCAGCCTGCTGCCCAGAGCCCCATGAAGCTGACGGGTGAGTGTCCTGGCCCCCGGGGAGGGAGGGAGGCTGGAGTGGCCAAGGGGCTGCGGGGGGGCCCTGGGCCCTGGCATGGGCCCCAGGTGGGAGCGGACCGCCTGTCTCCTGAGCCCCCCCCCCGCCCCCGCTCTGCTGTCAGCCCTTCAGCTGCTGCTGTGGCACAGCGCACTCTGGCTAGTGCAAGAAGCCACCCCCCTGCGCCCGACCAGCTCGCTGCCCCAGAGCTTCCTGCTCAAGTGCTTGGAGCAAATGCGGAAGGTCCAGGCTGATGGCACAGTGCTGCAGGAGAGGCTGGTGAGTGAGAGGCGCCGAGGGGACGCGGGTGCTGGACGGGGGTGGAGGAGGAAAGAAGACCCAGAGGGCAGAGCTGCAGGGAGGGCGGAAGGGGTGAAGGCTGAGGGAAGGGAAGGGAATGTCGAGAAGACATCATCAGGGAGGTGCGTGGGAGACGAGAGACCCAGGGGGACAGGGAAGAACATCAGGAGAGGTGGAGCCGTGGACGGCCGGCTAGGAACTGGGGGAAGAGTGTCTTGCGGACAGGGCCCGGATGGCCAGGATCGCAGCGGAGGGCAGAATGGGGCTGAGCAGCCCCGCAGGACTGGGAGAGGGATGCTGAGGGAGGAGAAGACCTTGGAGAAACGGGGAGGACTTGGGAAACAGGAGCAGCCGGGCCCCATCAGGTCGCCCTCACTCAGCATCCTTCCTGTCCCCAGTGCGCCACCCACAAGCTGTGCCACCCCGAGGAGCTGGTGCTGCTCGGACACGCTCTGGGCATCCCCCAGCCTCCCCTGAGCAGCTGCTCCAGCCAGGCCCTGCAGCTGGTGAGGTTCCGGAGGGGAGGAGGGGGCGGAGGGGAGGGAAGAATGGTCTGGAAGTCTCTCTGGACCTCCAGGCCTTGAAAGGAGTGCCCCGGGCAGCAGCCCCTAACTCCCCTACTCCGTCCCCCAGACGGGCTGCCTGCATCAACTCCACAGCGGCCTTGTCCTCTACCAGGGCCTCCTGCAGGCTCTGGCAGGGATAACCCCCGAGTTAGCCCCCACCTTGGACATGCTGCAGCTGGACATCAGCGACTTTGCTTTCAATATCTGGCAGCAGGTAAGCCCCCCTGGGAGCGGCAAGTGTTAGGGGCCTGGACTGAGCTGGTCCCCAAAGACCAGGCTGCAAGCCTGGGGGTCCCAGTTCTTTAGGGCCAGGGTGGGAGCCTTCTCAGGGCCCTCTTGCTGCCAGCCCTTCCCCACCCTCCCTAGTTGAGGGCGGGAGCCAGGTCCCTGCGCCCTGATGCAGACCTGGGTTCAAGGCCACCATTAACCGTGTGGCCTGAAGGGCCCACAGCCCTTCGCATTTCCTTAATCACGCCCACTCAGCAGGGCCTGAGTGCTGATCTCCTCTTTGCCCCCACAGATGGAAGAGCTGGGGCTGGCCCAGGCAGTGCCGCCCAGCCAGGGCACCATGCCAACCTTCACCTCGGCCTTCGAGCGCCGGGCCGGAGGGGTCCTGGTGGCCTCCAGCCTGCAGAGCTTCCTGGAGCTGGCCTACCGCGCTCTGCGCTGCTTTGCCAAACCCTGAGCAAAACCCTCCCCAACCAGTGTATTTATCTTTATTTAATATTTATGCTTATTTAAATCTAATATTTAAAGACAAGGAAGAGCAGGACAGAGCCCCGGACTCTCGGGTCCTTCCTGCCGTCTCCAAGTTCCATTCTCCTGCTTGTGGCAGGGAGAAAAGCCCCCGTCTTCCTGTCCCCTGGACTGGGAGGTAGCTATAGGTAAATACCGCGTATTGAGTCCTGTGACTGCTCCCTGGCCTGGCTCCACGGTGGGCACTGGGAAGAACCCCAGTGAACTCCTTACCCCAGCGGTACCCACCTTGAGGCCCCTGGAAGCATCAAGAAGTCTCCCATGTGGGAGACAAGACAACCCTGTTTAATATTTAAACAGCAGTGTTCCCCTGCTGGGTCCCCCTCGCTCTGGCCTCACCAGCTTGGCTTGCGCATGCCCGGTGGGCCAGATCTTGCTTCTCCTCACGTCCCCTTCGCCACCAGCATTAGGCCCCGCGGGAGGTGGCCAGAGCGGGGAGGCTTGACCCTGGGGTCCCACGAATTTGCTGGGGGAATCTAGTTTTTAAGATGTTTTCAGGAATATTTTTGACTTCCAGTATGGGGAGCCTGGGCATCGTTGACGTTTCTCATCTTTCTGGATGCCCTAGAGCAACAATGACAGGCTCCTGACGCCTGCCCCAGCCTCACTAGGGTCAGGATTCTGACTCTTCAAGGGCTGGGCAGAGGCTCATGTATCGGCCTTGCTGGGGGGGTGGGGGGTGGGACTGGGAGTGTGGGAGGGGAAGATGGGGGGGGTTTATGTGACGGGGTATGTGAGAGGAATGCTCAGCTCTTCACTCTCCACCTCTGCCCCCACTTTCTCACTGTAGCCAAACTTTGTGATAATAAAATATTTTGTTTGTCTCCACTAAGTGTCTTTTCCTCCTTCTTGAGTCCAGCTGGTGCCCAGCCAGGGGTGGGGGGGCGGGGAGTTGAATGGTGAATGAGGCCAAAGGGAGGGAAAGAGGAGGTGCAGTGAGGAAGGGGGCAGTCCTCTAGCTCATCAACATTGACGCCTTTGGCACGGATTTCTCTTGTACCTACTCTGTGCAAGCACTGGGCTGAGTGTTAGGGACACGGCAGTGGACAAGGCAGGCAAGGTCCCTGCCCTCACGGAGACCCAGCCTAGGGGAAGACAGAAGGCAGATGGGCCACCATACTGGGAGAGGAGAATGTGCGGTTGGGGGCAGGCGGGAGTCTTAATAGTCCAGACGCAGACAGACACTGAAGCAAGGGAGGATTTAATATTTGCCATCTTCCATAAACTCCAGCCCATCTGCGCTCACCGTTGCCCACAGGGATAGAATGAGAAGTGCCTTGGGGCACCTGGGTGGCTCAGTCCTTAAGCATCTGCCTTCAGCTCAGGTCATGATCCCTGGTTCCTGGGATCGAGCCCCGCATCGGGCTCCCTGCTCGGCGGGAAGCCTGCTTCTCCCTCTCCCTCTCCCCCTGCTTGTGTTCCCTCTCCCGCTGTGTCTCTGTCAAATAAAAAAATAAAAATCTTAAAAAAAAAAAAAGAGAAGCCCTTTACAGATCAGGATCTGAGTTCAAGGTGACAACTTGGGTCAGAACTCAAATTCCCGGCCCTGCACTTCTCTCCCTCAAGCTCTGCCTCTGACCGGGCCGGGAGCAACCTCATGCCACCCGTCCCTTTCCCGCTGGTCTCAGCCTCATGGGGCGGGAGGGCAGGTGCGTGCGTGAGAGAGCAGCAGGGAGTGGAGGGGCTGCTTCACATCACAGGCTGGAAGCACTCCTCTCCGTGTCCTCAGCCGAAGACGCACCTGTGGTTCCAGGGTGCCTCCACCAGACCCGGGAGAGTCCAGATGGCCAACCGGTCCCCCATCTCAGGGCTTCCCCTGGGCTCCTCAGGCGCCTCCCACTTCCCCTCTCCATCTGGCTCCTTAGAAAGGAAGGTCTGGCTGAGCAGGGCCAGAACCCCCAGCTGCGTGGCTCAGAGCCCTCCCTCACTGCTTGGTCCTGAAGTAACCAGGGCTTGGAGATGTGTGGAGAAGACAAGCAAGGGTTAAAGAGATCCTGCCCCTCATCGCCCAGTCCTCTTCTGGAGACTGATCAAACTCGGGGCCAGTCAGACTCGGTGGGGTTGGGTCTAGTGGGAGAGGGTCAGAAGGACAGGACACCCTACTCCAGCACCAGTGGGGCCTTTCGCCAAAACCTCTCCCTTCTCAGAGTTAAGTCTGACTTTGGGGTGTGGGGGTAGGCGGCACACGCGCATGTTGACTCCTTGTCGCCCAGTGCGCGTCTGAGGAAGGGAAGCCCTGCCCCTGCAGAGTGGGCAGACACAGGAACCTGAGCCCAGCCCTCCTCCGCGCACCCCTCCCGCCCTCCTCAGCCACAGTACTGAGCCTCTTCCTAGGCCACAGCACATGGGATTCAAGGAGAAGATGTTTCCTGCCTCCATGGGATGCAGGCACTGACACCACTTGGGACTCTCACACAGGGACCCACAAAGATCTTTATTTACAATGAGCTGAGGGGAACTTCCCTCATGTGTTACAAAAATATAAATATACATACTCTGCACCTGCAAAGTTCCCAGAGCTACATCTACTGTTGGGAGGGGGAGGCAGGGGAGGCAGGCAAGGCAGGGATATGGGGTGCTGAGGGCCCTGGGCTAAGAGCCAGGCTGCGCACACTCTTTAGGTGCTGGCTGTGGGCAGAGGAAATTATGAAAGAAACTGGGAGACGTCTTAGAGGTCAGATGTCAGGATAGGGGAATGATCTGGAAATGACACAGGGCTCTTACATCACGTGGATATGAGCAATGATGTCTCATCTTTCCTCACTGTTCCCTTCTGAGGCACCTGGGGCTGTGGTCCCCCAGACGGCCCCTGCGGCCACCCCAAGCCCGTCAGAGCGCAGCAATGGCCTTGGCAGCCACCTGGCGGCCCAGGGACAGGCTGAGGTCCGTGATGGCCAGAACCACCTTGGGGCTGGACATGGCTGACACCTTCACCAGCTCTGATACCTGCCACAGACAGACAAATGGCTGCTCGCTGGGGCTGCCTGGTGGTGGCTGCCATGTCCGGGGAGGAAGGGCTCCTACTCCGAGGGCTGCCCCTATACCCCAGGCTCTGCTGCCCCCATCTGAGCTGCGGGGGGCCCGCCCGCACCTGGGGTGAAGCACTCACAGTGGTAAAGGGCATGAACTGCAGGATGCTGCCCCGGCTGCCCTGCTCCAGGCAGTCCACACACTCCTCCATGAACCACTGCACAAACTGAGTGTGCGGGCCGGCGGTCCGTGACCCCAGGATGGAGGAGATGAGCAGGAACAGGTTGGCTGTGCGGAATGGGGGGAGAGGGAGCACTCCGTGAGTAGGGTCTGAGAAGACGTGAGGCTGGGAGGTGGTGGCACCAAAAAGCAAAAAGAAAGAAGTGCTGAGTGCTCCCCCTATCAGGGCGGGGGGGTGTCAAAAAAAGGAAATGTGAAAGGAAAGTGAACTGCGGGGGAGAGGGACTGAATGGGGGCCTGGGGGTGACAGGAGAGCCAGCGCCTGGGGAGATGGAAGAACAAGGTGGGGACACTAACACGGGTGAAGGGGCACCAGGAGGCCCCCCTCCAGCTGGCAAGGCCTCAGCCCCTCGGGCCGGAGGGCGGTGGGAGGACTCACCCAGGACTCGGTTCAGCGGGTCTCTCATATTAACCGTGTGCAGCTGGGAGGCTGACAGGGAGCTGCTCATGGAGCGGTCAGCTGTGGGGCCAAGTGGAGGGAGGCTGAGGGAAAGGCCCCCTAGCTTCAAAACCCCTCTGCCCAGGGGGCGCCCTCATCCGTCAGGTGTGGAGCCCCCCGCCCCAGGGGGGAGGGTCCAGGATCCAGAGTCACAGAGGGGCCCTGAATACAGATATCTCAGAGCGAGATGAGAGAGAACATTTGGTGAGCACTGCCAGGCTCCAGTCTGCGGGCTACACACAGATCAGGCCGCATAATCCTCATACTCCCACTTCACAGACAAAGAAACCGAGACTCAGATTTGCTGAGTAACCAGCCAAAGGTCATAAAGTTTGTGGGTGGCAGACGTAGCAGCTTTCCTCTACTCAACTGCACAGTTGGTGCCCTAATGCCCAGAAGGCCTTAGAGAAACTTCTAGACTCAAGAGAAATTTCTGGAAACAGGAAAAATTAAATGCCACAGAAGAAGCCCTTGGCAGGGAGAGGTAATAACATCAAGGGGAGCCTGAGGGGGAGGGGTGCTCTTTAGGCAGGAAGAGTGGGGAGCCGCCCCCGCCCCAGCCCCAGCCCAGGCCGCAGGGCCTGTTTCAGGGGAAGGAAGGACAGAGCTGGTGAGTCAATGGCAGACTGTGCCCGAGGTAGTGAAGTCACTTGTAGCGAGTAAAGGGTAGGGAAGGGACAGCGGTGTGTCCAGGGCTGGGCTGGGGTCTGGACAGAAGAGCTTCAGTCTTTTGGGAGAGGTGCCCGGGAACCTCTCTGGTCTCTCCGCAGGTAGAAAACAGAGCAGCAGTGGGGGGCAGAATGGGACAAACTCCCACCACACTCTGACCAGCAAAGACGCCAGCGGCCGGGTTCTACGCCAAGCAGCTTTCCCAGGCAGAAGTGAGTTCCCAAGAAAGGAGGAGCCCACCCAGCCCAGTCCTCATGCTCACTGGGACTTGAAAGGATGTTGGCGTCTTCCTCATTGGAGCTCAGCAGTCGCATCAGCTTTGAGGGCTGCATGTCATCCAAGGGGAAGAGACTGATATAATCCTGGAGGGTGAGAGAGTCACTATTACCCGCTAGGCCCCAAATTTCCCATTACCAGAGAACAGAGCTAGAGCTCATACAGGAGGAAAAGTCCGGTCACCACAGGCCTCGGCTGGCATCTCCAGTAGGCCCAGCTTCCCTCACCCTCCCACAACCCTAGTGAGACACCCCCTCACACAGTCACCCCTGGAGACGCTCAACCAGCTGAGCTGTGACGCAGCCGCCCAGGGGCAGGGCCTGGGCCTGGGAAGGTGCCTCTTACCCGCAAAAGGCTCAGCAAATGTCTGCTGAGCACATGAACAAGTGAACGGAGGGGTCCCCTACCTCGATGTCTTCACGGTGTCTCTTCTTTTGGCGGGAGGACGCCTGTCCCTTATGGGAGGAATAGGAACTCAGGGCACACCAGACGGCTAGCCTGGCAAAGGGTTCCAGGAAAAGACGGTAAAGTCAGGGGGCCCCGGAGAGGGCTTCTGTGCCAGGGCTGACAGGGCTCCCCCACAGCCCAGCCTCCCAGGGCGGCCCGAGGTGAGGGGCACCCGGCACTGCGCCGTGGGGACCTGCGGCTCCGAGAGAACCCTACTTGGCAAGAGCAGTGCCGGGGGGGTCCATGAGGCTGTGCCACTTGGAGGAATCGGTGAGCAGCCCCGGCAGGATATGGCCCAAGAGGACCAGGGTCACTTGCTGCATGTCCAGACAGAAGACGGAGTAGAGCAGCTCCACCGCCCGCAGCGTGTGCTCCTTCCGCGTCTCCTTCAACAGCTCCTGTATGGGCGGGGCAGGGAGATGAGGACCTGAGGACTCCCAACACGGGGTTCTCTGAGAGGGGACACAGGGGCGGCCCCAGGTGCAGCTCCATCCCTCACTCCGCATCAGCCTCTGGCCACCGCTCCCTGAGGAGGTGGCCCCCCTCAGAGCCCAGGAGCCCCGCGACCGAGCCCCGCGGACCAGGCTGGGTGTAGGATGCTGGTTCTGCTTGGTATTCTCTCAGCTGTCTCCCTGAGTCTGAGGAGACCTGCTCCCCCAGCCTAGGTCTCCCAGGTACCTTAATCAGGTTGTTGCAGAACCAGTAGACACCTCCCATGTGCAGCAGGGTGTCAAAGATGTGGATGGAGCGGCTGTCCACCCAGCCCTTCTCCAGCACCTTGGCGAATATGTCCGTCAGCACTTCCTTGATGGGCCGCTTGGGGGGCAGCAAGTTCCAGTAGGGCATTGTGTCCACGCCCGTGGACGGGAACTTGATCTGGGTGGCTGTCTGCTGCAGCACGTCAGCACACATGTGCTCCAGGATTGAGCTCATGATCACCACCCTGGGGGACGGGGAGAGGACCTGATGTTTAGGTTCAGGCAATACCAGGTTCAAGAACGGAGCAAACATCCAGGCCAGACTTTTCCCAGGACTTGAGTTACGGAAATATTCCTGGGGAATTAACCCCATTCTTCGCCGAGGGAGGAGACGAGAGGAAGTCACAACCCCCTAGCAGACCTGACCCTACCGGTCTGGCTTCTGGCAGGCTGCTCACCTGCTGGGCACAAAGCCTGGGGTGGGGGGAGCAGTTTGCTCTCCTCCCCCAGGTTATTGCAGCGATATATTCATATTTCCTCTCTCACTGTCTCCAACTCCCCCCATCCCCCAGACCTGAGCCCTGCCAATCCCTGGACATAAATAAATATAATCACTTCCCTCTGCGCTGAGTGCTTGGGGGGGGGTCCCCGCCCAGCCCTGGCCTCCTCCCAAAGTAAACTGTTACTTCCAGGACAGGGGCCCAAGGGCTGCCCCACTCGACTCTTCCCGGCCTTTGGTAGCTGGGCAAATAGAAGCGTATATCCAGGAATGTTCTCACGAGCAGTCTTTGACTGAGTTAGTGCTCAGACCGGGGTGAGTGCTCACTGCTCCTGGAACCCTGGGTGGGTGGGTCTAAGAGCTGCTGCGACTTTCAGCGCCGCTTTCCCACCTGCACGATGCACCCACGGGTGTCCCACTGTTCCTCACCCAGGGTCAGAGTCAGGGTGCTTAGCACGGATTCTGTCAGAGCAAACCCTCCATTACTTGTGGGAGGAAGGACGTGAGGGAAGAAGAGAGAAGGAGGGAGGAAAAAGGTCACAACCTCACAGACCCTCTCCCACCACATCTTGGCACGATGTCCCCACTTCCCCTCTCTAAGGCACCTGGGTGGCTACCTGGGGACTCCTCTCTCCTAGCTTACTGGTTGTGCATGCTCCCTGCATTGCAGCACTATTCCCAACAGCCAAGAGGTGGAAACTACCCAAATGTCCATCCACCGATGCATGGATAGACAAAACGTGGCGCATACATACAATGGAATATTATTCTGAAGGGAATTCTGACACAGGCTACGACATGGATGAACCCTGGGAACATTATGCTAAGTGGAACACGCCAGGCACAGAGAGACAAGCACTGCAGGATTCCACTTACGTGGGGTACCTAGAGTAGTCAAATTCAGAGAAACAGAAAGTAGAATGGTGGTTACCAGAAGCTAAGGGAGGTAAAAGGCGTGAACTGTTACTAAATGGGTACAAAGTCTCAGATTTACAAGACGAAAAGGTTCTAGAGATCTGTTTCACAACAATGTGAATACCTCACACTGCTGAACTATATACTGAACTAAGATAGTAAATGCTATGTTAGGTATTTTTTACCACAATTTAAAAAAGAAAAGTTACTGGATGGGGAAATCAACCACCACCACCGAACTCCACACGGATGAAGTCACCAGGGAGGTCCTCCAAGCCTCTGAAAAGCCAAGGCAGCAAAATGTCACAAGAGGGAGGCAGGGGGGAGGATGACGAGGGTGGGTGGGCCCAAGGCTCACAGTTCTGCGGATGGGCTCCTGGTGCCTACGCCGTGCCGCGGCTAAGACAACCACTCTGTTCTGGTGAGCTAGTTCTCCACAACTTGAGCTCTTTGAAGACAGGAATCATAGCAATTCGGGGGCTGTGTTTCTGGGACACAGCAGGTGCCGGGTCGTAAACACTCCTGGCACGGAGACACACACTCAGTGTTGCTGAGTCAGTGCGTGAACACACAAATAAGAATGGGAGTGAGTGAGCAGCCTGTCTGGGAACGTTAAGAGGAGAGGGGGCTACTGGTTACTGGGGGTGCTGCCCGCTCGCGGCAGGCCCTCCGCGCTCCCAGAGGGAGGGGACGGGTTACTGACCTCTCGTTGTAGAACTGCAGAGTGTTCTCACTGTACAGCGGCCCCGCCAGCTGGCGGATCATCTGCAGCGACTTCTCACGCTCGTCCAGCCCCAGCATCCGCACGTGGGCCACGAGCCAAGCCACAGCACACACTGCCAGACTGCACACCTTCCCCTTGATATTATCTGTGATTTTCTGGGGGGAGGGGAAAGGGTGACTGAGGCCACGCTCTCCCCCGCCCTGACCATCACTTTCCCCAACCTCTGTGGGCAGCTGAGTGTCGCAGGTGGAGTCCTGGACCGCATCCCACACCTCTTTTCCCCACGAATATGCTTTTCCCAAAGTTACCTGGGTGGGAGGGAGTGGCTAAGCCTATGTTGATCTTACAAGGAAGATCAACATCCAAGCATGAGCTCCTGGATTTAAGAGTCTTCTTATTCTTATAAAGTGTAACAAGCTATCAAACACTGGCTCTGTGTCTCAGGGAAGAAAGAAGGCTGCTGGAAAGGTGGGGCTACCTGGATGGACTCGAAGGCCAGCACCCCATTCTCCCAGGCATTGAGGATCTCCAAGATGGCCGCTGAAATGCTGAGACAGGCTTCGTGCCACTTCATCTGCCTACGAGGGGGTGGGGTGGGAGAAAAATCACCACGGGGGAGTGTGGGATGGACTGAGGGAGAGGGTCTTGGCCTGCCCCCACCGCCACCCTTGGAGTGGGTGCCCGGCCACTGACACCAGCTTCATCTCCGAGGAGTTGTTGAGCAAGGCCACCAAGGACTCCACTTTGGTGGAGTCAGGCCAGAAGCAGGGGTGGTCAGGGTTCAGGATTTTGCCCTCCTCGGGCATGCAAGTCTGCATCCACGTTTCAAAAAAGGGCACCTGTGCTCCTGTGCTCGACTCGGACAGAATCACCTAGGAAAGGAAGGGGGCGTCAGCAGCCAGTGCCCTGTGCCTCAGTTTCCTGCCCCACTGCTTCTACTTTCCAGCCTAAAGAACTGAAGACGAATTGGTTGAAGGGAGAAAGACGGGGGCTGTGCTGCCACCCAGTGGTGGGTGTGGATGCAGCACTGAAGGATTCAGGATGTGACACAGGGGGCATCCACGGACCCGCCAAGGGTGGGGGCACCTGCGTTCTGCAGGCAGCAGAACGAACTGGCTTGGGAGACCAGGGAGCCAAGTTACCGGTCTCTTCCTTCCCCGTCTCCCCGCCCCTAATCCTGGTGCCCCTAATCCAGACTGTTCTCTTCTCACTCACCTCTGAACCATAGGTCTGGGCCACATGGCACAACATGAGGAAGGAGATGTCGAAAAGCAAGGCGCGAACGGAGGCTGCTTTGGCTACGGAGAACAAGATGGCTGACCCCACAGCCCCGAACAGGGCCCAGAGCCCTCAGGTGAATCAGGAGGGGATCAGGATTTGCCTCAAGGAAGGTCAGCGACCAAGTGGCTCCTTCAAAGCTCTGAGGCTCAGAATCCTTTTCTTGAGTCTCAATTAGAACATCATCCCTTCCTTGGAATCAAAGACTCCTGACACCCTCCTTCTTCCCAGTACCCAACCAAATCATAAAGGGGGAGGGCAAGAGACAGAGGTGGTTTTGGAAGAATCCTTTTCCCAGCACTCCCCCGTCAAGGCTCCCCAAAAGCTTCAGTTAGTCATTGCTCAGAGGAGAAAACAGCCTCGCCAGGAGGAGCAATGGGCCCTCTGCCCTCCCCTGTTCTCTCCCTCCACCACCCCTCCCACAGTGCCGGGCCTGCGGGTGCACAGAGCTGACTTACCGAGTTCTTCATTGCCGTGTGTCGTAAATTCATTCAAACTGGGGGAGGAATGGAGACAGGTCACAGCAAGCAGGGCAAGGGGTCAGGGGGCTACACCTATCCAGAAAGCATCACTAGAGTCTGAATTAGGGTTTAAACTTAAAATGAACACCACCGCTACACAGAAAAAAATGCTTTCTGTTTTTAAAAGATTTCCAAGGCAGGGCGCCTGGCTGGCTCGGTCAGTAGAGCATATGACTCTTGATCTCAGGGCTGTGAGTCTGAGCCCCACGATGGGTGTAGAGATTAGTTAAAAATCTTTAAAAAAAAAAAAAAAAAAAAGATTTCCAAGGCCCAGAGAATGGCTCACTAGATGGAACAAAGTTCTATATATAAAATTCCGGGTCAACCAAAAAAGTCAACAGTGTTTGAGAGCCCCTTATTAACAACTGGGCGCACCCGAATCCCTCCACGTCCGCCATTCAATGCCTCTCATCTCATCAAACACCTCCACCTCATGCTCAGCTGCAAAGAAAAGAACACTTGACACCCAAAGACCTGGCCCTTCCCCCAGAGTCTCCCACTGGGATGCTCTGGCTTGCCCTGGGCATCTCCAGGGAGACCCAGACCCCAGTGCCTTGCCCCTATTCTGCTACTCCCTCCTTCAGACCTGCCTCCACAACCCTGGACAGGGGCCCAGCCTTCCCTTACTTGATGAATTTCCGGGCGAAGGATTTAAGCTTCCCAGTGGCAGCAGCGGCAGCCAGCAGCAGATCCAAACTCTTCCCGGACAGCATGTGGCCCAGGACTCCAAGCAGGCCCTCTGGGGACTTGGAGTGGTCTGCATCCATCGTCTGGGGACAGGACAGGAAATCAAGTCCTGAAGAACAACTGCAGAGCCCCCGAGATACAGCCCAACCACAGCTTCCCTCTCTGCATGTCTCCATTAAATGGCATACCACAACCTACATCTGCAATTCAATCTACATCTTTCTGACTCCAATCTGGAAAACCATTTCCCAAATCTGTCCTTGCTCTCTGATCCATCCCTCCCAACTAAACTGCGATCGTGGCAGTGGGGGTGGGGAGGGTAAGATTCTCCACTGCTTCTGAGAGAGCAGGTGGAAGCCCCCCTACCACAGAGCCTGCCTTCCAAGTAATGCTCAACAAATGTGAGTTTTCAATGGCAGCTTCCCTGCCTTGCCTGTTTCTCTACTTTCAAAGTAACTACACATAAAAGCCAAAAGACAGGGAGGTCTATGGCCTCAGTTTACTTATTTGGAAGCAGAGGCAAAAGTAGAAAAAAGGAAGAGATGACCCTGGAGGCAAGGGAAGGGCACACTCACCTTAAGGATATTTGTGACAGTGGGCTCCGCCCGGAGGATCAGCCCAGGATTGGGCTGGATGTTGGCATTTTCTCCTGATTTCAGCTGGGGTGCATGCTCCCGGTCTGCTGCGCTGTGGCCAGAAGCCGTTGGCCAAGAGAAGGGAAAAAGAAACGGAGACTGATTCCTGACGTGCTCCCTAGCCCGGCCCCAGAAGCAGAGGCTCAGGGAAGGTGGGGAGCACAGGAGAACCTCTGGGGGCGGGGTGATGTTTATGAAAGCATATCCACTGTTGCAACTGCTTCGGTCTGTCACTAGGTAATTACCTCAATTTTGAAAGTTCACTTGAGATTAAAGGAAGATTTAGGGTTTTTACTTTGCTCACAAAGGAGGGTGGGAATTCAAGTGCAGCCCATAAGGGTGCAAAAGCCAGTGTCTGCTGCTCCTGGTAACCCCAGGCATGGCCCCAGGCACCTGCACCGGGGGGTGGGGGAGGCACCCAGTGCTCCAGGGTGGACACGAGGGAAGGAGAGCAAGCAGCCCCTCGGCCAGCCCGAGGGAGCTCACGCTTACCGCTTGGCCATGAGGTTGGTCACACTGGCTTCAGACAGAAGCCCCTGCTTGCTACATTCTTGGAGTAGGAATTTTGTACAGTCACAGCTGTGAGGGAAAAAGATCATGAGGGGCCGGGGCACACGGCAGGGATTACTGAGGGGAGAGAACCATAGGCACCTGCCTGGTCTCCTCCCTCCTTCAGAAGGAAGAATGTTTTGAGTGCCTGAGGGATGGGAGATGGGCTCAGGCACTCAAGGGCCTGAAGGGGCTCAGGCTGCTGCCTCCTGCCCCTGCCAAAGGGCACGAACCAGGTGACAGCCCCCTGAGGTCTGTCTGGCACAGAGGAGCAGGGGAAGAGCCCATAACACCTTCTAGTAGAGCGGGGGTGAGCAGGGGAGTTCGTACTTGCAGCGCTGGTCAGCTTTGTCCAGCAAGGGTGTGAGCTTCAGCAGGAACTCAAAAGCACAACTGACGTCCTCGGTAAAGTCCTACAAAGAGCCAGGAGCTGCCATCTGGCTTCTAGGCCCTCCAGTCCACCCATAGCTTGTGATGCAGGCTCACAAGGACACCCCGCTGGATAGAAACCCTGACAAGCCGGCCACGCCCACCACCGGCTTGCCGTGACACGACAGGGAGGAGTGTAGAGGACCAGCACTCTACACCAGCCCTGGTCACCTTGGCCACCTTGCGTCCTGTGTGGCCCGGGCGCCCGTCTGGAGAACGGGTGTGTGCACGTGGACACATGCAGATGTCAGGTGCACTCACATTGCCAGCCAGCCCCCAGGTGCAAGGACGCAAGACTGACCCTTCCGTTGCCCCTGTTCCTCCCTCGCCCTTGTGGAAACAAGGATTCACCAACTCCCACGCCCCACCCCACCCCCATCTCATTTCTCCAACTTACCTTGTCCCCGTGACAGTATTTCTTTAACTTCACCAAAACCTGTGGGATCTAGAGAATGACGCAAGAGGAGAAACAGGAAGATCAATTTCTTCTCTTTCACCCAGAACTAAAGGCATCCCCTCCATCTCCCTGCTCCAAGCAGAGAGACAGGAACCCTTCCACCCTGGAAATGAAAGCACTCTCAGGGCCAAGTTAGAAAGCTGGCAGGTATCCAAGCGTCCGGTGCCTAATGCCTACAGGACACAGGGACCCCTCACTTCTGCTGGCTCCACAAGGAATCGCCATAAGCCAAGGGAACCCTGATTCAAGGACTGGGGCCACTTCCCTGGCTCCCATAACTGCCCTGTGCCAATCTGGCTGATGACTGAGCTAAACGGCACCTGTGTGCTAAGAGATGGCAGGCGCCTGCCAAGTCAGCTAAATATAGCCCTGGGACTTTCAGAGAAAAGACTCGATGGGAACTTGCGCTAGGGGACTGGGCAGGCTGCGGACGATGCCGGCGGGGAGAAATGTGGGACAAAGATCCTGGGTGTCGCTGCTTTTCCTGAGAACCATTTCTAGACTGGGCACTCCATTACTCCCACATCCCAGGTACCTTAACCAACTGAGCCACGCAGGTGTCCCTCACGTCCCAGGTACCTTGAGGAAGGTAAAAGCTGTCCACTTGAGCTCCTCTGTACCCTCAGGAGACTCGATGAGCCCCACGAAGCAAGCTTTCCAGATTTCCAGGACAAAAAGTGGGGTGGGAATATGCTGTGGGATGATCCAAGAGTGAAGCCTAAGAGGGTGCCCAACCCCCTTCATCTTCTGAAGGCCCCAGGGTGGGGGGGAAGGTGGGGGCTGGTCAGGCAAGCTCAGAGACGGTACAGGACAGGTGCTACCCCACTCCAGGGTGAGAAGCAGGGATGTCACGTGAAATGGCACCACCGTGCACGACAGGGATCAGCTTTCTACCGTGAATCAGGAGAAACCCCCTTTCTCCCAAGAAGTACCAGAAGAATCCTCCCCACTGCCCCACGTAGCCAGCCCGCCATGTTGACAGAGAAGCAGCTCTGGGCCCCCCACCTGCATGCGCTTCACCATCATCAACTGTTCCACCAGGGGCTGTGTCTCGCCTGTCAAGTTCATGGTGCCCTCGAGCAGGACCACCGCGTGGACCGTGGGGTAGCCAGTCTTATGCAGCTGCTCCGAGTGCACAGCCAGCATTGTGGGGATGCTGAAGGGAACAGATATACAGGGGACGGTGTGAGGAGCCAGGAAGAGGTGGAGGGCAGGTGAGAGCAGAGGGGTGGAGGCCAGGGGCCACAACTCCCCACCCATACCGAGGGCCTTTCCTCTCTCCCTCCACCCCGATCAGCCTGGGAGCCCGGTACCTCCTAATGAGCGTGCCACACTGCTCAGCCTGGCTCCGGAGCTGGGGGTTGCTGAGACTGGCCAGGATCTCCCCAAGCTTCAAGAGAGAATGCTCAATGGCAGTCCAGGAGGCTGGTGAAGAAGAGGAAATGCAGACACACGATGGGAAACAGGGGAGAGGAAGACACTGGCCCTGAGCTCAACAACTTTGGCCCCCCTCGGCCCTCAAAACCACATATGGAGGCTTCCTCTGAGGATGACATGGAGGCCAGGGGCCTGAGGGCAGCATGCACTGTTTCTAGAAGGGGAGTGAGCACCAACAGTGAAGGCCCTAGAAACTAGCCCCAGAGGCCTGCCTTCTAGTGGAAGCACGCAGCCAACCTTAGAGCCTACGTACGACCTAACACAGGCAGTGGCAGAGAGAGGCACAGCAGGGTTGGGGTCCAGTGGCTGGAACAGGGAGGCAGCCACAAATCACATCAGGAGTGGCCAGCCTTGCAAGTGGGCACCACTCTCTACGGCTGTCGAGCTAGATTCCTAACCAGCCTCCTGGGTTCACCCCTGCCTCACCCTGCCGAGGCCTCTGCTCTCACTGCTCACCCTCTCTGTAGGCACCCCCGCTTGGCTTATTGCCACCTCTCAAACTCACTCTCCTCAAGCCTTTGTTCAAGCCTGGATCCTTCAACAACTCACCCAACTGGTCCAACCCACTGACCTCTCCTCCTAAATGCTTGAACTCATGGTCTATACCGCATTATTTTGCACTTAATTATGAGTCACTTATCCTAGTTACAACTCCAGAGGGTCAAATGATGAATATTGGCACCAACTAGCCCGTTAACCTCCATGTGGCATGGGAAAAAAAAAAAAAAAAAAAAGGTAAGACCTGAGATCCATTAAAATTAAATTAAATATTCATTTACTTTTCAAGCCACTAAACATTTGTCAAGGGCTCAAGATAGGTAAGACACTGTCAACACAGCCCATTTTTATGGAGGGTTCATCTCTCTGGACTTTTGACAGGCAATAAAACATACTTTGAGAAGTAACAAAAATACTAATAATAAATTCTCCAAATAGGTCCTGAAGACCTGGGTGTGTCCCATTCTAGCATTCTTGTTACTGGAGAGTAAGAGAGCCTTAGGTGGTGTCAAGCCACTACAAGACCATGGCCTCGGGCCCCACGTCCAGAAACACCAGAGTCTCCCCTCCCACCAGGTGATCTGTCTCCTCTCTGACTCTGGAGGATTCCAACATTTCACATCTGCACTTGAGTCAAGAGGTGCATGATCCAACAGGCCTGACAGCAGACAGGTACCATGTTTAAAGGGACATGTTAAGCAACACTCAAACCCAAGTCATGTGCTTTCAGACGAGTAGTGTGGAGACAAACACAAGGATGGATGGTGTGCTTCTCTCGTCCTCTAATTTCTTCCATGTATATTAACGTACCGGTCTTGCTCCCCACTAGCATGTATGGTTGTTGAGGGCAGGGACCCTGCCCCATGCTCCTTTGGTAGCCCCCCGCCCCCCCGCCCCCAGCACCTGGCACAGTGCTGGGCATACAATAATGCTCAGTAAATACCTGTTGGTTGATTGGCTCGGGTGCCACCCTGCCCAAGTCCCTGGGATGTATGCAATGCTTATGGGGAGAAAAAAAAGGAAGTGGGATGATTTCAGATCCTCCTGGAAAGAAGTGGGATGGCATCCTGCCTCTCCCCTCTCAATTAAAGAACCGGCTATGGGAAGAGTGGCAGGCAGGGCTCAGGGGACCCAGGGGGACATACAGGCCTCCTCTAGTTTGGCGATGTGGAGCAGGGCCCGGTTCTTGGTGCTGCTGAGGGTCTTCTCCAGGCGCAGCAGGCACATGGCAAGCTGCTTCTCCCCGGCCGCTGGAGCTGGAGCGCCGGCCTCCAGCCCCTCCCGGAGCCGCTCGGCAGAGGCTGCAGTACAGCGCAGCAGCCAGTGGAGGGCGCTGAGAAGGGCCCGGCACAGCCCGATGCACTCCTCGGCTTTGCCATGACAGCTACCGGGGAAAGGGTGCAAAATCTGTCTCGGCTCCAAAGGCTGAAACATGACCCACACCACTGTTCCCCGGAGTAGCCGGCACACCCCTCCTAGGGAAAGAGAGCTGGGAAGCTAGCAAAGTCCTAGGCAAGACAGCCCCGTCGGCTTCCACCGGACAAGATTTCAAACGAGCCACTCCAAAGAGAAAAGGCCTTTTGTCCTAGGAGACTAAGGAGAAAAGGATGGGGATGGGTGGGTGCAGATGAGCAACAGGGAAGAAGAAGTGTGGAGCCCCATCGGGTTGGTGTCAGTCTATGGACTAGGAGCTTCTTCCTGACACTAAGATAATGCTGGAAGTTTACGAGCCCTGCCATTACCTCAGTCGGTCACAAAACATGTCCATGATATCCAGCAAAGCCTGGACACACAAGTCCCGGGAAAAGTCATCAAACTGTGGAAAGAACATCAACAATGCTACAGAACATCCCGGCCGACCCCTGGGCTCACACATGAGGCAGACGGCATATTCAGGGTGCCTGCTCATCTTTCCTCCAACCTCAGGTTTCAGACTCGGCATTCTTTCTTTCTTTTTTTAAAGATTTTATTTATTTATTTGACACAGAGAGACAGCAAGAGAGGGAACACAAGCAGGGGGAGCGGGAGAGGGAGAAGCAGGCTTCCCGCTGAGCAGGGAGCCCGATGTGGGGCTTGATCCCAGGACCCCGGGATCATGACCTGAGCCGAAGGCAGACACCTAACGACTGAGCCACCCAGGCGCCCCCGGCATTCTTTCAACATTGGAAATTGGCTCATAATATCCAGCCTCCACTTCCCAGGATCCTCCTCCCTCCAATGGAACACAGCGATGTCAGCTAGCGGCATCATGTGCTGCGTGTCCAGCCTCCGAGTTCGTATGATCAGAGCAGTCAAGGAGGTGGGGTCCCACCTGTGACTATTATCTCTCTACCCCCCTGCCCTCCACCTAGCTCATGAGTGGCTGTGGTCATACCTTACTGATTGCTGTGAGGACAGAGGAGTAGGACACCATCTGGAGGGAAAGAAGAAAGACAAAGTTCAGACTAGTGTTGCACAGCTGACAAGATCAAATACTGACATTTAAAGTTTCTGCAGCCCTCCAAAAACCTCAACCCCTTCAAGAGGCCTTCCTCAACCCACTGAAAGAGAGGCATTGTCCCTATTCCTGCTTCTATCGGAATCACCGTAAAGGACATCATCAGCATGATGTCAGTCTTCCACTGAGAAGATGAGGGTGGGCATTCAAAGGTACTGAGTTCCATGTTCACATGCCACTCACCGTCCACTATACACAAGGTTCAAATGACTGTTAGTAGGCAGAAGAATGGACAGGAATGAGGTTATGTTACTTTACTCCTACAAGCTCTATAAAGGGTACTTTTATTTGGACAAGAAATGGAGACGAACAAACATTCCCTGCAATGAACAGGTAGCACCTGTACCTTGAAGTAGGTAGGGAATTTCATTATGCACACTCTTACTGATTCTCTAGGACTTACACTCTAGGATTCCTCCAGGACACCTCCTCTGATCAATCCCAACCTCCCACCCAAAGCTGAAATTCTTCCCCGTGTGCTCCAAGTAATTACCTTATACCCATCATGACACAGTGGGTGCCTGTTGCCCCCACCAAACTAGGAGCTCCTTGAGGATAAGGATGCTTTTACTCAGTGAACCACCATGAACTTGCTGAAAATGTTTGTAGAATGAGTAAGGAAAGACATACCCTGGATCAGCATTTCTCAAAGTAGCTTCCAAGGTTGCACTGTTCGATAGAGAAGCCATAAGCCACATGTGGCTATTTAAATTTAAATTAAATAAAATTTAAAATTCAGTTCCTTAGTCAGACTAGCCACTACATGTGGCTATGGCTACTGTATTAGCGCAGATATAGAGCATTTCTATTATTGTAGCAATTTCTATTGCATGATGTTATTCCAAAGATTCCCCAAGATGTTAAGAAATTTTACACACACACACACACACACACACACACAGCTTCTGTGTGATATGAACTTGAGAAACTGTGGAATAAATAAATATAAAGAGCTTTCTTTACTATAGGGTATCTCTAAATCATAATATGCATATATACAATGAGAACCTCTAAGATAAACGGAGACAAAGTAAGCAATACTTTCCAAGCTTATTTGACTAAGAGAAATCCTATCTGAACTGTGAGCTCCCTGGGAACAGAAATAGTGGTGAATTTCTATCTGTTTCTCTAGAACCTAGCCTGCTCCTAGCACATAGTAGGTCCTTAGTAAGTCTTTACTGCTTTGGATTGATGAATTCTAGCATTCTGAAAAAATTGTACTTTAAAAATAAATCTCGGGGCATCCGGGTGGCTCAGTCGTTGAGCGTCTGCCTTCGGCTCAGGTCATGATCCCAAGTTCCTGGGATGGAGCCCCACACTGGGCTCCCTGCTCAACCGGAAGCCTGCTTCTCCCTCCCCCACACCCCCTGCTTGTGTTCCTACTCTCACTGTCTCTATCTCTGTCAAAAAAATAATTAAATCTTAAAAAAAAAAAATCTCTATTAGTAAAACCTATTCAGCACCATTATAAGATTAGAGTTATAGTTCAAAAGAAATAACTAATGTGTCCTGAATGAAATTAAAACCTATGGAAAGCCTTCTAAGTTGTCATATTTTTTTTTAAAGATTTTATTTATTTATTTGAGAGAGAGAATGAGAGATAGAGAGCATGAGAGGGAAGAGGGTCAGAGGGAGAAGCAGACTCCCTGCTGAGCAGGGAGCCCGATGCGGGACTCGATCCCAGGACTCCAGGATCATGACCCGAGCTGAAGGCAGTCGCCCAACCAACTGAGCCACCCAGGCGCCCCTAAGTTGTCATATTTTTAAAAAATAGTTACAGCATGCTGATAAAATATGAGTAATACTTTAGAAAGTAGTTACATTTATATACTCAACACCAGTGGCAAAATACACCAAAATAAAAAAGCAGAATACAATGATAGAAACTGTCAGGATAATCACCAGCCTTGTGGGCTGTCTTCCCTAGAGGAATAGAAATTTCCAAAGCTTTAAGGAGAAAGCAAAATCAGCCTCAATGGCCTTAGTATGGTGAATTTTACATGCATGGCAATGCCTTCTGTGTATAATTTCTCCAACAGAGTGCTCTCTGTTCAGACACCTTTAACTACTATTCTTAAATAAACAAGAGCAAAACACACAGAGGACTTAAATACACAATTAGTGTTTAGCGCCGCTCTCACCAAGATGTTCTGTGAACCCATAGCTGGTGTCTGATGGTGATCAGAAAGTTGGGAGCCTGCCTGGGCAGGATGACCATAACGTTCCAGGCGAGTGTTTGTTTATTTATAACTGATGTCCCCATAGCAAGAGCTTGGCAGAGAACTGAACCTTGTTGGATACCAACCTGAAGGGGGAGCTGGATGTTCCCACTGAAGCGGACCCCAAACTACCAGAAGAGCAACTCCCCCCCCGCAATTCTGTATGTTCTGAGGGACGCTGTATGTTCTAATACATTTATGGTCTCCAAATTCAGAATTCCACCCAGTAAGTTTTTGCTAACAGTATCAATAAAGCACTGCTACTCTTGAGACCTAAAAATACTTTCCACATGGCGAACTGTTACTGTTTTTCACAACAGGATTTAACCTCTTTCACTCTTAATATAGCTATCAACGTAGGAGATCTAAGCTACCACCAGCCCCTGAGGTGGGAGCCCCTCTATGTGGCCCACTGCACACCTGGCTAGCCCAGACTGACCTGCGGCTGCTCTCTCCTCTCCTCTGCTTTTGATAGTCAACACCCCCAACTACTCCTAAGTGCACTCCACGTGCACAGCACTGGACCGAAGAGCCTCTTGACTCTCAAGGAAGAATCAATGCCTAATTTTGCATAGCACTTTACAAGTACTGAAGCTCCCACATATACATTTATTTCTCTCATTGTTACTTCAGCCTTGCTCTCCCTCTTGCCTTCCCATCAGTGTTTACACATCTCGAGATTCTTCTATCTTTGAGAGAACTTCCTGCAGAGCCCCCATTTCCAATTAACAACCATGTTCTCTCTCCTGCTCTTACAGACTTCTTTTCAGACTCTTATGAGAAATCCTTTTCCTACGTGTGTTCCCTACATGTGATTGGTTCCTTGGGGATTTGGCTTGGGTCATTTTTTTTTGCTCACTCTCCACCCTCTCTGAGAACTCTCGTCCATGTCCACAGCTTCAATTACCATCTGCAGTTGACAACTCCAAAATCAACAGTACCAGTCTAGGTCTCTTCTTCTAAGTTCCAGAAATGTATGTTCAACTGCCTACCAAGTATTTTCTCTTTGATAGCCCACACAGGCACCTTACTTAAGAAGGCCAAAATCAGGGGCGCCTGGGTGGCTCAGTTGGTTCAGAGTCCAACTCTTGATCTCAGCTCAGGTCATAATATCATGGTCATGGGATCGGGCCCACACTGGGCTCTGTGCTCAGTTAGGAGTCTGCTTGAGATTCTCTTTCTCCTTCTCCCTCTCCCTGTCCCCCTGCTCGTGCTCTAGCTCTCTCTCTAAAATAAGTAAATCTTTAAATATATACATATATATTTTAAAGATTTTATTTATTTATTTTAGAGAGAGAGAGACAGCGAGAGAGGGAACACAAGCAGGGGGAGTGGGAGAGGGAGAAGCAGGCTTCCCGCTGAGCAGGGAGTCCGATGTGGGGCTTGATCCCAGGATCCTGGGATCATGACCTGAGCCGAAGGCAGATGCTTAACGACTGAGCCACCCAGGCGCCCCTATACATATATATATTTTAAAGATTTTATTTATTTATTTGACAGAGAGTGACACAGCAAGAGAGGGAACATAAGCAGGGGGAGTGGGAGAGGGAGAAGCAGGCTTCCCGCTGAGCAGGGAGCCTGATGCGGAACTCGAACCCAGGACCCTGGAATCATGACCTGAGCTGAGGGCAGACGCTTAATGACTGAGCCACCCAGATGCCCCTAAAAGTATATATTATTAAAAAATATATTAAATATTTAATATATATATAATATATTAAATACATTTTTTAAAAAAAAGAAAAACTAAAAAAAAATAAAGGCCAGGGACACCTGAGTGGTGCAGTTGGTTGAGTGTCCGACTCTTGGTTTCGGCTCAGGTCATGATCTCAGGGTCGTGAGATCGGGCCCTGCGTCAGGCTCACACTTGGCGTGAGCGTCAACTTTGAACTCTCTCTCCCTCTCCCTCTGCCCCTCCCCACCATGCCAGCTCTGTCTCTCTCTCAAATAAATAAATAAATCTTAAAAAAAAAAAATAGCCAAGGGCGCCTGGGTGGCTCAGTCGTTAGGCTTCTGCCTTCAGCTCAGGTCATGATCCCCGGGTCCTAGGATCGAGCCCCGCATCGGGCTCCCTGCTCCATGGGAAGCCTGCTTCTCCCT